GATATGACATCAAGAGGCTATTTGCATCTAGCTGATTCATTCTGTTACGTAATTCATAAAAACAAAGGCGAAAAAGTATTCCGTTGAAGCAATTTGCATAATGTGGGAGACCTACAAGACATACTTCGACGTGCAAGTCGGAGACCAAGACAAATCTTGGGCACCGCATTTACGATGCGAATATTGAAAGGTAAACTGAACAGTTGTTTCTTGCTTAGATGTGTTTAAATTTATTTTCATAAAATTTTAATGCTTTAGATCGAGTTCGTTTCAAGGAGTTGTAATTTACAAAATTTTGTCATAAATCGTGTACTGAAGGCAAATACGTTCAATCATGAATTCGTTTCACATTTTGAAACTTTCTGTCCTAAAATTATTATAATTATTATGTATTACTATGTGCTCAAGCAACTGCTACTTCTGCATGGTAAACCCAAAAAATTGTTGCACCGGTAAAAATGTCTCTCAGATCGTTTATCCGGACATACCCTCTTCCGTTTCCCCAGTTCCACAGCAAGTCAGATAGCGAGGCCGATACTGGAGATATGGACTGCGATTCCACAGAAAAGTTAGTTATGGAAAGCCATTCTTTCCTAACCAGAAAAACGTAAATTAAATTAGGGACCTCGGGATTACGAAATCAAATGCTAAGCTTATGATATCCAGGCTCAAACAGTGGAACTTGGTTGATGATAGCGTACAAGTCACGGATCAGAGGAAGCAGCATCAAGATTCTGCAACTTCTTTAGTCAGCGTGATGGGCTGTGGTTCTGCAACGATGTTGACGGATTATTCCAGGTTTAGGTGTTGCATCTAATCTTATTGAATGGCGCTTATTTATAGACAGTTTACCCCAGAGCTCCAAAGTCGCGTCGCTTCACAATGAAAACAACTACCCGTCTCTCTCGATGGCTTACTTTGTGCATCTAAAAGAAAACACCAAAATGTTGCTGAGTGCATTTAAGTATGACTACTACGGATGGATTTGGTATCAAATTGTGGGTGTCCTCATGGGTGTTTAAGGACGTTTTACAAAATTTCCTTGTTTTTTCTGTCTCTGGGACAGCCGTTCCACTAAAGCGTATCATCAGACAAAAGACTGGCCGAAACGGACCAAGTTTTCTGTCGGAAAGAGCAATGTATAGTGGGAGCCGCTGAAAGAACCTCATAGTTATGAAAAGAACCTCAAGTGTTAATGCCACTGCTGCACATCAAGATAGGCCTCAGTTTGTCACTGCTCTTGACAAGGAGCCAGTAGAATTTCAATATCTTCAAAATCTTTTTCCAAAATGCTGTCCGAGGCTAAGGTCAGGGCTTGTATATTAGTCAGACAACAGATCAAGAAGATCGTAGAATGTGAGGATTTCGCAAAGCTATTAAACAGGACGGAGAGAGCGGCTTAGAGCAGTTTCGTTGCAGTTGTTCAGAGCTTCCTAGGTAATCACAAAGTTGAAAACTATGTGGAGTTGGTGCAGACTTTGATAAAGAATTACGTTAAAATGGGATCCAGAATGTCTCTGAAAGTTCATATCCTTGATTCGCATCGCGTCAAGTTCAAGGAAAACATGGGTGCTTACTCCGAGGAGCTAGGCAAGCGCTTTCATCAAGATATATTGGCCTTTGAACGTCGTTACTAAGGACAGTATAACAAAAACATGATGGGAACTACATTTGGGGGCTATTTTGAGAAAGTGATTCACAGTACAATCGTAAATCTAAACATTTTTGAACTTTGTTGAGTGTGTTTGTCTAATCTTTGTGGAATTTTGTTTTTACCTTATAATGACAATGTTTTTACCTTTACATTATAATGACAAATATGATTATCATAGTTAAAAAGTAATAAGTTTTTACCAACTACGTAAGTAATGCTTGTTAGCTTTAAGGCTTTATTCAAGTCATTTATATAAATTAAAAAATGGAGAGTTCCAAGAATTGATCCTTATGGGACTCCACAGATTATATTAAGAAAAATGGTTTGATAATCATTGTTAAATAGTACAAATTGTTTTCGGTTAGATAGATAAGTTTTAAACCGTTTGAAATTTTTTTTTTTAATTCTGCAGTATTTGAGTTTATAAATTAAAATATGGTGACCTAACGTATCAAAAGCTTTTGATGGTTTAATAAAAACTCCTTGTGTATATTGCGAGTTTTCGAATGGTTTTGAGATTTCACGTACAAATTGGATAATTGCATGTTCAGTTGTGTTACCTTTCTTAAAACCAAATTGATTTATGTAAAGTAGATTATTATTATGAAAATACTTTTATATTCTGTTGAACATAATTTTTTCTAGAATTTTCCAAAATGTGGAAAGAACAGATATCGGGCGATAGTTACTAATTTCATATTGTCCTCTTCTTTAAAAATAGAAAAAGTTTTTGTAATTTTTAATTGTTCTTGGAATACTCCTTGATGGATAGAAGCTCTAAAGATTTTATAAAAAGCTACTTCAACTTGTTCTAAGCAATCTATAACCTCGTTTCCATTAATTTGATTTACTCCAATTGCTTTATTTTTTTTTAAACAGATTTCAAGGCTCTTTCAAACTCATCAAACAATAATTTGAAAGACAACTCATCTGAACAAAACTCAGTTACCCATGGGTTCTGGATAATCAAAATAAAGTAAACAAAGATTTGGTCTTAGGGATTTTTTCGGACAGTGTTGGTCCTATATCAGTGAAAAAATTGTTAAATTCTTGAGCTATAGTTCTTGGTTCATATCAACCAGAGCATGATTTTTTTTTTCAATAGTTTCTTTTATTATTTGTCACGTGCGTTTTGTGTCGTTTTTAAATGTATTAAATAATTGGGAGTAATAGTTTTTCTTCAGGTTATTACGAATTTTTTCAAATAGGTTTTTGTAGTTCTTATAAATTTTTTTGCTTGTAGCTTTTTTTGTTTGTAAAAATGTATATATAACTTTTGTTTTATTCTGGATTATTTTTAATAACCTTTTATAATTTAGGGTGTATTGATACTCCTAGTTGTTATAGTTTTTTCTATGATTGGGAAAATAACTTCATAAACAAAAACAAATTTTTTAAAAAAGTTTTATAAATATTATATGCGTTATCATTAAAATTTATGTTATTCCAATGACGTATAAATGTTGGTCTTTAAATAATTTGAGTCTTTCTGACTACACAATAATGCAGCCGATATTTTTGATTGATTTTCTCCAATATAACGATAACCATTTTTGTAGCTTCCTTCTTAAACTTTTTCACTCATTTTTGAAGGTTTTAATTTATTAACGTAATAAATTCTGAAGTTTTTTTTTCATTTAAAAAACCGCAATGGGTATTTTTTTATCTTTAGACAATTACTAAAAAAATCCAGCTTTAACAAGTCAACATCAATAGCACATTTAACAAGAGCATCAGATTTAAAAACAAACTACATTAGAGATTTATGTTGTATCTCCAGGTTCTTGCCAAAAAAAAAAAAAAAATTACATCATTTGTTTGATATTTTCTGAATATGGTTGCAAAAGTCTCGCAATATAGCAGAAAAATTGAAACTTTAAATTGCTTTTTTTTTTAAAGCCAAATAACTATTTGATAATGGTCTTATAAAAGCTAGTCGATTCTGTCAGAAATCAACTATCTTTATTGCATTTGGCCATATTCCTTTTGAGTCTTAATGCCACCTGTTAATCCAAGACTATATAAAATAACAAACATACAACAAAGGCTGTAGAACCTTTAAGAGTAATATAATCATCAGTTGAAAAGATTATATCTTGACAGCTTTTTGGCCCAACTTGTGGTTACTGTAGCTGTTTAGAGGGCTCCATAACTTGAAGATTATAATTGTCAATATTTACTAGTTTACTCAAACCAGCTTCTTCTCTCAATTGGATTTCCTAAGAACATTCAAGCTCACAATAGGACCACCGATTGATAGCTGATGTCTAATGCAGCGACATCTAAAAAAAAAAGAGCCCCAATATCGTTCCCAATACCTTTGTTACCGAGAATTATCAAAAACTTTACTACTAAATTGATCTCAGACCCCAGAACTTTTTTTTCCATACATTTCTTTAATAAAACAGAAAAATTTAAAAATGCTTAGGGTTGCCATTTTCAGTAAATGTATAAGTATAACTATTATATATCACAGTTCTTTAAAATATAAGATAGATAAAAACAAAATGTAAAATACAAGAAATAAATTAAAAATGCACTAAATTGAGAGTAATGTAGAAAATAAAACGTAATCATCAGGATTTTAAAATTATTTAGAAATAATATAATTTAAAGATATTTCGAAATAAGCATTAATTTTTTTTTAATTTGTTAAATAAAGATACAAAATTTTAATAAGAATACAAGTTTTTGATTTGAAATTATGAAACTTTGACGAAGATTCGATGGTAGATTATTAAATCAGATAAGTAGAAGTAAAGTGTCATACAAATAAAATTCAAAATATTAATCATTCAAATTTTATACTTAAAAAGACAATGAAATTTAAAATAAAATGCTTTATTACTTTTTTTTATTACTTTTATTTTTTTTCTTGTTCACTACACGAATTCTCGGATTTTCACTAACATTTCCTGACCCAGATGAATATGGCACTTCTGTTCATGACTTTCCCTGACCGTATAAAGCCTGATTATGCGCATATCGGTTATTTTCCCAACTGCTATGAATTACTTACTAGATGAAAAAAATGTCGCTTTTAGTGTAGAGCTTTTTTAGCAGATTCAACGATTTCTTTGAGATGAGGTTATTTTATCTACAAGACTACTCTCGGTAGCATCAATAAGGCTACTAATGGTTATAAATACTTTAACCTTATTATAAAAATACACATTACAAAAAATATTTTTGACAATTTTAAAAAAATTTACATTAATGAAATTTATGTAACTTTATTTGTTGTTAAAAAATAAATTTCAAATTTAATATTACATATGCTTAACTATAATTTGTAATATTAAATATTAAATAGCACAATTGATATCACACGATTTTATATAATAAGTTGCAGAACTATATTGCACAATACTATATATTGAATTACACAACTTTATCGCAACAGTTTTAAAAGACGCTAGGTACTGAGAAAGAACAAATACATTTCTTAATGTGGTAATAAACTTTGTATAAAAATGAATAAAAAAACTATAAAAACCTCAATAAATTGGGTTAAAAAATAGCTAAAGAGCTCATATATGGGCTCATAGAGTCTCCCCAATTCTTGTCCATATTGCTGCGCCGTACTTGTCATGTAAAAATTCAAACGTTGTTTTATCATTTTTGTATATAAAATCTCCGCAAAAATTGTTGTTCGAATTATAAGCGAGGCCATTTTTCCTGTTTTGCGGACAGTCAATTTGGAGATTTCCAATTTTATGAATATTCTCCGTACTTTTAGTGCGACGCACAGTATCTAATGTTTTATACTTTGTTTTGTTTTTAGGATTATGTGTAACAGTAAACATGTCAGTTTTGTTTATATTTATATTTAGTGGTTTTGCTGTAGCAGTTCTTGTTCTTAATACACTGTCATCGTTTGAAGTTGAAAAAATCGAGGAAGAGGTGAAGCGGAAAGAGTTTTTTTTTTTAATGCTACTGTCAATATTACCCGAGTTTTTTTTCGATTGTGAATTAAAATCATTATCAGTTTTGAAACCGAGTAATGTTTTTTGAAACTCAGCTACAACCATTGCTATAAACATATATGATGTTGACGCTAACGATCTTATCCATTGTTCCATATCGCTTTCGGAGTCTGCGCATAGAATATATGCCCTGCTATTACTGGTTAGGTTTTCAGCTTGATAACGAATACAAAACGAAAAGCGGTCAGCATCATTCACTTCAATGCTACAGTTTTCAATTACAATCATGCCTAGAGGTGTTTTACCGGGTTGTTCAAAATAAAATAACAAGTTTCCTTTCAAGACAAACCATCTTCTTTTATAACTATGGTTTAACTCTCCCTTCTTGTTTAAGTATCCTTTTTTATCAAACTCACTTTCAGTACTTGCATATGATATCAAACTTTTGTCATTTATTTTCATTATATCTTAATCTAAGCTAAAAAAAGGGTTTTTTAAAGTTAACACAAATGCATTGCCAGAAAATAAACATATCATAAAAGCATTGTCATAGAGACAATAAAAAATTGTTTACAAAATAGAATAAAAATAAGACTCACCATAAAAAAACTTAAAATAATAAACATTGTTTTAAAAAGTGGCATAAAAAATTATTAAGGGTAAAGATATCATTAAAATGTTATAAAAAAAAATAAGTTGTCAAAAATAAATAGAAATGGTAATGTCATAATTTAAAATAAAATAAATTACAAGCTTAGACTCGTTTAAAACTTTTAATATTTTTAATTATCTTTTATCTCTATACTTTTATTATCTTACTCCTAAATATCATAATGTAAACAATAAAAAGCAAAATCATCTTAAAATAGTGACAAAAAAAAAAAAGTTACACTTAATTACCATTATTAGAACCATTACTAAAAATTCTATTCAAAATCAAAAGTTATTAGGTTTCTATTGCTTAGTGATTATTTATGCCAGTTTTACTCTGTATTAGGCCGGGTAAATAAAAAAAAGCATTTGCTTTTACTCAGCGTTTTTGGAGTAATTGCGCATCTAAGATTCACGTTAAGCTTCACGTTAAGCTAAGCAATTAACTCCAAAAATGGTGAGATTAACCTTACGTGAATAAAAATTTGAGCAAAATTGCATAAGATTTTGTTCACGTGAAACTAAACAATTACTCGAAAAACGATTTTTTGATCGATTGCTTTTTTTTATTCACCCAACCTATTGTAACTTAAAAATACAAGTGAAAAAACAATTATATTATCGTAATATTATCAGTTTTATCAATTATTAATTTGAAACCTAATAAAAATGGATATTAAACGATGATTTAATTACGTCACAGAATAATATTCTTTAAATTATGTCACAGAAAACCATTGTTTAAATTATGTCATAATATCATTGTATTAATTATGATGTCAAAAAGTACTGTTGTTTTAATTATTATCATGTCACAGAATACTATTGTTCAAACTTTTAACACCATTAAATAAAAATACAAAAAATAAATATTGGTTTACATTTATATGAAGTTTTTCTCCACAATTCCATAAAAAAATATAAGAAAATAAGTTGAACGTTATTTAAATTTACCAAAGAAAATTATTTATCAAGAAATTGGCATAAAAATATCTTGAAATTGACACCATTTTTTCCCTTTTATAGCTAACTGTTTTCACAGAAGCATTGACTAATAATCAAAACTTGCTTATTTACCGCTCTTTGCGTATGCTTTAAATGCTTTTCCACGCGCGATTTTCTAACAAAAATCTGAATAGAAAATCGGCTTAACTATAATTTGGTCTGATAAATGAATTGGGTTTTCCTCTCGATAGAGTAATCAAATTTGCAAAATTAAGCAAAAAATGAGTTAAACACAAAATAAGAAAGATGTAAAAACTAAAACTTTTACTTTTATGTTGATGAAAATTTTTTTTAATAATTTATAAAAAATAATAAAATTAATATTATAAAATTTTTCAAGCTCTTTTCAAACAATTTGAAAACAAAAACTTCTTCAACAACTTACTACTTCAACAAAAAATTACTAAAACTAACATGCTACGTCGAAAATTATTAAAAATCTGGTACATTAATTTTTATATTGTTTAGAGAGTTTTTCTTTACTGTGTTCACATCATAAGGAAACATTCAAATGCACAATATGCCTAATCTGTCTATTGTAGAATTGTAATCATGTCTACAATGGTGTGTGTAGACATTGTTAAAAGCACTTTATCTTTTGAGCCAGTTAATTACATCTCAATAAATTTTAAAAAACAATTTTGTTGGGACTCATCTTTGATTTTCCTGAATTTTACATCTGCAATAAACAAGACTTGCATTTTTATACCTTTAAAGCAAAATGGTATAGAAATTATAGCTTCGTAAATAACATAATTTTTTTATTTAATAACAAGTTTTTATAGGTTAGTATTCTAATTACCAAACAGGCTGAACAGCTGGTTACATTCTAAAACTCAAATATATCTAGAAAAAAAGTACCAATTCACCTAAAGAATTTTTCCGATTTTCAACCATTATGAGATAGCTTGTAAATTTATTAATACTTTGTACTGATTTAAGATTACCAACAAATATTACCGTTAGGTCCTGAAAATAAAAATGTTTTTAATTTATTCTATCAGAGTTAAATTATTAAAAACAAACAACCTTTTTCGAAAAAATAATAATAAAATACAGTAGCTACCTCGATTGTAGCAGCCTCCTCTGGAGGGCCTACTACAGTCAAGTTTTTTTTTATTTTTCATGTTTACAAGACCAAGAATTTACCAATATGCCCTTTAAAAGATGAATAAAAGTTAACCAATGAATAAAAGTTAAATATTTCAAACAACTAGCAAGTTTTTACTTTAAGATTATCCTTTTGCCTGATAAAATTTTTTTTTGAGATTTTATGATCTTGAATCAAAATTTTCAATAACATTGTTGCTTGTTGTTGTTGTTGTTTTCAATAACATTGTTGCTTGTTGTTGTTGTTGTTTTCAATAACATTGTTGCTTGTAGCTTTCCTGAGGAAAATACTATTAATTTCTAGTAAATATATATATAAAATAAAATTGTAGTAAAATATATTGTGCATATTTTGAAAACAAAAGCTTCTCTCTAACTTTAGGTCAAAAACAAAAATTATTCTTTCCTAAAAATGATAATATATCAATGTAGTTATATGATAATTCATTTTTATATAATTTTCTTAAAAAAAAATAGTCTTATTTGGAGTTGTTACTTGGAAGTCTGAAATTGCAAACTAAATCTCTTTACATAATGTAAATAATATAAAATAGAGAATATGTAAAAATCAGAAAAATTAAAGATGGTGTCCCACTAGTCAAAGGCCAATATATAACGAATTTTTATAGGTTGGCGTCTAATCTTTTATTACTTACTTGCATCTACAATTCTAAAGGAATTATTTTACACTATTTAGTCCATTTTCTCTAAAGGAAAATAAAATAATTGAAAAATAATTTTTTACGTATAAACTTTAATTTCTAACTTTATTGAACTCTCAATAACTAATAATTTCAATATGTGTGATAATTCAATAATATCCACTGACACACAACTTGGATATCACCTTAACGTTAGTCTGGTAATGCCAATCTGTAAATTGTATAGAATTACTATATTTGATAAAAGAAATGTCTTGTGATAATATGTGCAAAACTAATGCGATGAAAAATGTTACTTACTAAAAATATTTTTTTAAATAGAATTTATAAAAAGTTTTTATATTAATTTCATTTTCATGCATTTTTTTTTTTTTAAGTTTAATTCTGATGTCTTATGTTTATATAAAAAAAAAGTTTAACAGCTTGAAAAAAAAAAAGATTTTTTTTAAAAAAGAAAAGTTTGCTAAAAGACTTTAAAAACTAAGAATTGCAAAAACCCAAGCACATTCATTAAAAAGACTGGATAATAAAATATATTTTTTGTAGAAAATATTTTTTTTCATATTGTGATGCAAAAAAAAAAAAAAAACAAATAAACAAAAAAAAAACAAGAAAAATTAAATAGCTTTATGCCTTTCTCTTTGGTTACATTATTTTAAACTAACTTTCTAATACTTCTTTATGAAATAAACACAATTTGCCAAACTGACTTAAGCTCCCTTTAAATAGTATATCTAAAAAGTAACAATAGTTAGTAGAAAACTTAATAGCCAAGGAAACCAAGTTTAATATATTTAGTAGTATGCTAGTAAAAACATACAAAAAGAAAAAAAAGTAAAAAGTTTTAGATTACTTAGATGTATAATTCAAAATCAATCCGTTTTGAGGAATAAAATGGCCCATTAGAATCAACTTTCCTACAAAAAACATCCTTTTCAAACTTTCCGGCATCCTGAAGCGCTAGCATCTGTGAAGAAGTAAAACATCCAAACACTTCAGATTCTTCTTTATTTTCAAGTCTGTATTCCCAAAGGACTTCATCCTTTTTTTTTGTCTCTATAGTTCTTGGAGGACTTTTAACTTTTTCGATCAGTTGATTATCTTTATTTTTTTGATCTGCAGATCTAAAAGCTGCTTCTAGCTCATCCTCATCATCTTGTTCTTCAGCATTTTCAAACTGAGAAGATAATTTATCTTTAGTTTCAAAAGCTAATTGTTCATAAGATTTCTCATATATTTGAAAGTCTCCACTTTGTAAAACATCATCTGCTAGGCCAGTTAATTTTAGCATGCTTTCTTTACTTTTTGCTTCATTGTCATCAATCGGGACATTTGCTTTTTTTTTCTTCCACCGATCAGCAGAGCTTATAGGTTTCTTGTTGCCACCAAGACGCCTTAATGATTTTAACACTGTTTCTCCTATGAAATAAAATTTAGGGAAATGTCTTAAAAAAAGAAGTTTCAGAAACCTTCAAGATTTTTTTGCATAATCTTTAAATAATATTGCAAATTATCACTTAAGTTTTAAGACAACAACATAAAACTTTTGTTGAAAAATATTTTTCTATTAACTATTTTTTAATCTGAATATATTGCGCGCAAATATAATGGGTACAATAAAAGGGTGTTTGATGGGTGCTTGAAATTGATAACAAATAAAAATCTGCATTTCTGGGTTCCCATCTTTTATCAATTTTAGACACTATTTTTTTTTTATTCTTGAATTTTTTGTTTTGTTTCCAATAAACTATATTTGTAGATTGTATAATTGTAATCATTTGTTTTAAATGAAGTAAAAATTTACAAGCTCTAAGAGCCTTTCTAGTGAAAAAAATAACTCTATAATAAGAAACAAATCAGTTTTTTTGGTGAAAAAATAAACAAACAAATGACTCTCTGGTAAGAAACAAATCAATTGTTTTTTTGAGAAATAACAAATGACTCTTTGATAAGAAACAAATCAATTTTTTGTGCGAAAAAAAAAAATTGATTTGTATCTTATCAAATTGCTTTTACTTGGATGATTAAACTAATATTAGTGAATTAATTTGATATTTCAAATAAACAGTATTTGTGGAAACACAAAAGAACTACTCAGAACTCAAACAATAGCAATATATTTCTAGTGAAAGAAATCTATTGCTTATCAATGGTAGCTGAAAAACTACACCTGATAGATGAAACACTACAAAGAGACATAAAATACAACAAAGAGACTTAAAAGTGAAGCTTGTAAAACTAAACCAAACATAAAATTGCTTTACAGCAAGCAGTATGCATTAACCGCATAGATATGTCCAATATCAGATTAACCCAGGCGCAGGGCGCAGCTGCGCCGGGCCCCTAAAATATGGAGCTATAGCAGGGGCCCCTGACTTTTTAAACATATCTCCCACAGCAGTCGTGGCTTTATTGGGACCTCTAAATCACAACTGCAAGGGCATAAAAATGTTTAAAATGTCCAGCTTTTTAATACAAAAAATAATATGACTGAACGAGATAAGAAAGCATGTTAACAGACTGATTTCCAGTCTGTTTTTAATTAAATATATATTTTTATTTTGAACTTTTTAATGTAACATAAAAATTTTTTTTTTAATTGAAAAAAAGGCTGAAAGAGCATAACTAAAGTTATATGCATAATATGAGTTAAGTAATGAGCTTAAATTTAATAACTTTTGCTGAACAAATAATTTTTTAAATAATTTTTTTTATAATACATTAATTAAAATGCCATTAAATATAAAAACTGAGAACTTTTAAAAAAAAAAATTTGAACTTGAATACGTTAGAAGTATTTCAGAAAAATGTTAGAAAGTGTTCGACCTTTTTATCTTATCTTAATAAAATAATAGTGTACAAGTTAAATATAAAAATTATTTATTTATAGACCTATGTTTTCTTTTTTATTAATTTTAATTTAAAAATTTAATTGTTTGAGAACAATTAATATCATTCAAAATTTTGTTATTGTTTGTTTTTTGATTTATTTATATTTATAGGTAAATATGTCTTGAAATATTTTGTATACAACTTTTAAAAAATTAGATTTATTGCATTTGTTAGTAGTTTTTTGACATTTATAAATATATAATAATCTTTAAAATTAAGATGAATATTTTTGCAGTACAGAAAATACCCAAGTGGAAAAAATTGACTTATTTTTTCTAATCTCCTGATAAAGCATGTGGGGAGAATCAATGTGTGACAAGTGACTCAAATCCAACTGCATAATGTCCACAGTTGCAGAATTTAACAGATAATTCTTCTTCAATGTATTGGCATCCAATTCAACAGCTCAGCAAGAAAATGTATCAAATGGCAATAAAACAATACTGTACATTTTTGATGAACGAATAATTAAATTTGTTATTGTTATTATTATCATTGTTATTATTATTATATTATTATTATAATATTATTATTTTTATTATTATATTATTATTATTATATTATGTTATCACTTTTTACTGTGGAGTTAAACTGCATACTTATTTTTTTGTTTTAGCTGAGCTTGTCAAAATGTCAACTACATTGTGAAGGGAGGAGCGCAAAGCTACGAGATTTCTATAATAGAAATTTGTGATCAAAATGTTGCAGACTAAAATTTTAGTACTGCTCTTTTAAAGGAATCCCAAAGTGCCGACACATAAAGTGCCGAGACAAGCTGTGTTCATATTAAAGAGAATGATTTTTAAAAAAATGTTTGGTCAGAATTTTTTTAAGAATAACAAAATAATAAAGGTATACCAAGAAAAACTAACTTTGTTGTTTAACTGGATGCTTGCCGTCTCCATGTTAGCCAGTTCCTCAAAGTCTTTAAAATATATGTTGCAATCTACATATTTCTACAATTCCAAAGAGTTTTAGTAAATGATGCCATTGTTAGCAAATAAATGCTGTTAAACATTCATAAGGTTAACTTTTTCACTACCAGTCGTTTTAAAAAAAATCTTCATGCTGCGACTGCACATTTTTTGAATAAAATTTAAATGGCATAATATTGACAACTAATTAAAATTTGAATAGTAAATCTCTTTAAAAGCATAACAAACTATGTCAATAGAAGGTTAAACAAATGAACTTTTTAAATAAACAAGTTTTTAACACAGATCGTTGAACAATAAGAAATTTTGTGTTTAAAACCATTGTTTGTATAAATAGTAACTAAAATATCAAATGTAAAACAAAACTCATTTAATGTATAAAAAGAATGTTTTTCTTCAAAAGACATTTGCTAAACACTTCTACAACAGCTAAACACTTCTACAAGTTAAATTTTACAGTGTTCTTCTTATTAAAATTCTACAATGACGTCATTTACTAAAACTCTTTGGAGTTAAATGCACTTGAATTAATTATAAAGTCTGTAGATTGCAGCTATATTTTAAAGATTTTGAGGACCTGGCTAACAAGGAGAAGGCAAGCTTCGAGTAAGACAACAAAGTTTGTTTTTCTTGATATACCTTTATTATATTGTTTTACTTAAAAAAAAAATTTTTTTATCATTCTCTTTAATATGAACACAACTTGTCTCAGCATTTTGAGATCCCTATAAATTTTCTTTTAAGTTGAAAAATGGTAATATTCAAAGGAGAGGCTGACTTATTTATTCGCCATTAACTGGAAAAATAGTTCTTCTACTTGCTTTTTCATGCTTCAGATCAAAAATTCAGAACTGGATTCAATGGATTCCATAAAGGAAAAATTGATGTTCATTTGAAAGAGCAGTTAGAGGATGAAAAATATTACTGGAGGGATGTTCTAAGAAGACTTGTTGAATGTCTGAAGTTTTTGTACAGTTAAGGTTTAGTTTTTAGAGACAACTTAGAAGAAATAGGCAATTTCAGTAATCGAAACTTTTTCGGGGCCTTGGAGTTGCTTTCAAAAATTTACCCTTTGTGTGGAAATCTGAGAGAAATCAAGAAAATATTTCATTAACAATATATTAGACAAATCGTCTTCTTGATACTGCACACTGTGACCAACTTGCAATAATCATTTAATATGGGAGCAAGGAAAAAATGTTTATCAATTTTGAAAACCCAACTAAATGTTTTTTGAATTTTCTAAACATGCAACATATAGTTGACCATAAGAAAAACAGTTTTATCAGATATACACCAACTCTATCAAATGTTTGACCTAGAATTTTATTTTCTTTGAATATTCTAATCTAACAGGAAACTGACAACGTTTTAGAACTAAAGGTAAACTAGAATCTGATGAAGCCAAGTTGTCTATCAATACTTAATTCAAGGAACAAATACCTGTTTTGTATCAGAAACACCTACTTAAAATTTCGTTTTAGTGGTATTTCATAACCCATGTTCATGATCTAAATTTCTGAGTGACATAGCTACACAGCCAATTTTCAATTTTAAACAATAAAGAAGCAAATGTAAACAGTATTCAGTATGTCAGTATTCTGACAGCATAAAAAAATTTTGATGTCAGAATTACAAATTAATGTTAAACATTGTTTCAATTTCATGGTTTCATAGCAATTAAATAATCCATGGTCGGCTACACAAGCAATAATTAAATTTTCAAGTTTGTAGTTTTAAGAATGGAATGTTTTATTTAAAAATTTCTTTTATAATTTAATGAGCAATGTTTTTTTAATACTTAAAAAATCAGTGGGAGAAATTTTTTATGTTTTAAATAAACAATTCATCTTTCATACAATTTAGAATTCTTAGAAAGAAATTTCTTTTAATTTGCTGTGAAATTTATTGGGTTTGAACCTTCTTGTGAGCATAATGGAAAGACCATGGCAGATGCAGTTAAGAAAAGATTAAATGAGCTTGGCTTAAACATTAACAATGCTCGTGGTCAATCATACGCCAATGCATCTAACATGTCTTGAATGCACAATTGCCTGTAAGCACAACTGAAAAATGAAAACCCAAACATCAACTTTATTCTTTGTGCAGCAAAACCTTAAAATTTAGTTAGGGTTAATGCTGTTAACAGTTGCGAGACTACATTGTATTTCTTTGTTTTGTTAATGCCTGTATAATTTCTGTGCTTCTCGTAGATGGTTTATTATTTGTTCTGGTCTTGTAAGTGGTGCAGGAAAGAACAGGAAAAGTACTATTAAAAGCCTGAGCAGAAAAAAATGATCAGCAAAAGCCATTACTACCAAAATATTATATGCAAATTAGTCATATTCTTGAGACCCAAGAATCATTTGTTTTAGATAAAGATGAAAAACGCCAGACACAAAATAAAGCCACTACACAAAGAAAATGAAAACTTTTGATGTTGCTTTTATGACAGAACTTTGGCACAGAGTCAAGTTACAATTTCGTGCTACTAGTATCAAACTTCAGGATAAAAGTGAAGATTTAGCACTTGGTGTTCAATTGCTTCATTCTTATTTGAATTATATTACATCGATTCGTGAAGATTCACTTGACAATCAGGAATGTGCTGGAAGGTTCTCAAGCATTATTTCTAAGCAATACAAGCAACAGAATACAAGAAAGAAGATTCGCAAAGTAGAAGTTGATGAGAATAGAGAAAATGAAGTGGTTCTTAGTGGCAGTGACAAATTTAGAGTTAAACACTTCTTCCCTATCATAGACAAGTTAAAAAATGTGCTTGAATGAAAGGCTTTCTGCCTACGAGTCTGCAGGAAAAAAGTTTGGACTTCTTACTAGTTTTCTGAACATGACCACTCCTGTCATTGTTGCTGCTGCCAAATCTTTCTGTACTATTTATCATTTAGACAATTTCTTGATGAAATTGTCCAGTTTTCAAAGTTTATGGCAAATAAGAAGAACACTATATCAGCACAAGGAAATATACAAGTAATTCATAAGAATAAGTTAGAAACAATTTTTACTAATGTTGACATTGCATATCAGATTTTTCTAACCCTTCTTATTACCAATTGTATTGCAGAGAGAGCATTTTCCAAAATGACAAGAATGATCTTCGCTCATCAATCTTAGATATCAAAACTTATATTTTGTAACAGAGTTCTTTTAATTGTTATTAAAGAAAGAGCATTTAAGCGACATTTAAACGTTAAATAGTCATTTATGTGCTCTTTGTCTAATGACAATTAAAAGCAAGAAAAATTTATTTGTTAATAAAAAAATAATTTCATTTTTGAATACATACTTTTTTAGGAATAGGGCCCCCAAATAATTTTTGCACCTGGTCTCTTTGACTGTTAATCTGACCTTGGATATGACTTAATGTAAATTGTAGATAGTAAATAGCAATATCAATATAAAAAATTTCAAAAAAATTATTTTATACTTAAGCTTCTGTTCCCAACTATGGTAAAAAAAAAATTTGTGTTTTTTTTTTCCCTTTCTTTAAGAGGTTTAAAGTTTATAAGAGTTTATATTTTTATTCACAGGAGTTTTATTTTCTAAGATGTTGAAACTAAAATTATTAGTTAAATTATTATAATAAGATTATTAATTATTGACATAGTTAATAATTAATAATCACATAAATAAATTAATTTCTAGTAACTAGTAACTAGAAACATGTGATGTAGCAACTCTAAAACAACTTGATTTTTACTATCAAATTATTTTTGAAGAGATTCAAAGATTAAAACCCAATATACTTATTGTACTTATAAAAATAAATATTAAAATGTAATTTATTAATTTAACCTGGGTTCATGAAACTCAACATGTCTTTCTTCATTTTCAATGGGTCAGCATCTGGTAAATCTTCCATTGAATCTTCATTTAACACATTGCGGTTGCTAGGCACTTTGCTCCAATCAACTGAATCCAGCCAGCCATCAGTAATATTTTCATCAACTTTATTAGCAATATAGTTTCCTTGAGCATCAAAATGACCTAAAAAATTGAACAATCAGAAAATTGCACCATTATAAAAAATTGCACAATTATAAAAAAACATTTTCCTCTTTTAGTGTAAATACAAATAAATTACCTTCTTCTAGTTCATCTTTTAAGTTGAATGGTGTAACAACAATGCCATCATCATCTCTAACAGTCTCTTCCTCCTGCCCTTCAATATCTTCATCATTTAAAATAGCAGCACTTTCAACACCATCAGAGTCCTCCTCATCACTGTCAGAAACCTGATTCTCCTGTTCAACAAAACTTTATTAGGACAATGAAACCAAGCACACAAAAAAATGTTGAGAAAAGATACCAAAAAACAGAAGGAAAAAAAAACAACTTTTGAGACCTTTTACAATAAATCAGTTTTTATATAGAAACAAAACATAACCATAAAACGCCTTGATTTCATTTCTGAACATTCTGCTTGATCGCTTGGGGTCTTAAACGAAACCTTCCTTTTTGTCATAACTGTTACTTCCCTTTAAAAATGAATTTGTATTTTTCTATATAAATGACAGTTAAATAAACACAAGAAAAAAGAAAAAAAAAAGAAACAAAATTCATTCTTAATAACATTTTTTTTTGTCATTAAAATGGCTTATTAATTAAAAACTATTACTATAAAACTAATATATAATTAATATTTATATTAATTTGAAAAAAAAATAAAATCTAAAAATAAAATAATAAATAAAATTATTGCCATATATGAGTAATATATTCAGCCCTTGAAATTAGAGAAAACAAAGTCAGCAATTTATTTTCAACCATAAACTATTTTTGTTAGCACTTAAATTTTAATATAAAGGTTAATACCTAATTTTTAACACAAAGGTTTCACCATAACAACATAAAAACAAAGTCAGCAAAAATCTCTGACCTCATACATATTTAGGTCTGCATTGCCTAATGCTGATTTTTATTCTAATAAAGTCAATAAATACTAACAAGTGTTAACATTTATATATTTATTTTGTAGTGTAGCCATGCTATTTGCTCATAAACTTTTTTTTTTTTAGTAGCCATGGCAATATGACAAAAATTAAATTTTTAGTAGCCTGAAGCATTTTATGACAATATGACAAAAATTAAATTTTTAGTAGCCTGAAGCATTTTATGACAATATGACAAAAATTAAATAAAGAAAACAAAAATTTAGGAAATTCTAACGCTTTACCTTTAAAAAAAATTATATTCACACTTTTCCATAAAAACATATCTTTTAAATAATAAAAGTATTAAAAATAAAAAACTTTTAACTTTGATAAATTCAAGAGTTTGACCAAATATCAACATGGTCAAACTTTCTGGTCACAAAACATAAAATAAAAGACAATTAGATTTAAAAATGAAAGCATATAGAACTCAAAACAATTCATTAATTATGAAAAAAAAAACTGAAGAGGAAAAAAAAAATTTTTTTGTAAGATATTTACCAAAACAATCTTTTTTAAATAAAAACAAATTGACTATGTACTATAGCCTAATAACATATCATATTTAGAAAAAAAGGTTGAGCAATAAATTAAAACAAAAGAATAAAAATTTTTAAAAACTTTTTTTTTTTTGCATTTAAACATTAAAAAAATCTATTAAAACAAATATTGCATTCCATGTTGCATTCTGTAGTTCATATAAGTAGAAAATAAATATCTTATACTTTAGTTCATTAAGATAAAAACTAAAGAGCACTTTATCTAGTTTATCAAAGTAAAGTAAAAAAAATATATATATGAGAACAGAACTAAATCAATTCATTTGATGCTTTACATTCAAGATTAGTTATATTTTAAACCATTTCATATGAATTATGTGCTGCTAGTTGTTTTCTAGATTGATTTAGACTTGCTCTTGTTTCCCTAACTGAGCCAGATTCAATTCTGAGGCCTATTGCAGCACCACTATATGTGTTTGCTCTTCGCAGACCTGTTGTTCTGTCTTCTCTAGATTGTCTTTCATTTTCAGTTCCATTCTCATCAGAGTAAACATAACCAGTTAATCGAACATCATCTGAACCATTATTTTCTAAAGGAATCGGATGAAGCCGAAAATGCTCTAGCATGTCAAATATAGTTTCGAACCGAAGATGCTGAACGCGACAATTACCTTCTGAGTTAAGTGACATTCGCAAATGCTATATTTATAGAAAAAATTTTATAATTTAAAAATAAGACTAGGTAAAACATGTAAGCAAACAAACAAAACAAAAAAAGAATATTCAATGATACAAAAAGTTTCAAAATTTTAAGAAAAAAATACTTAAACCTTGATACCTTTGAACGACCTTGCAAATTAAAAGTTAAAACATATTCACCACGGCGTGTCTCACTTTGACGAACTAAAAATACTCCATGCCAACTTGAACCTTGTTGTAGAACATGCATAGAAGATTGAACCCTAGTTATAGTGCCATGAAACCATGGATATACAGCCAGTGGGTGATTTTCACCAAAGGGATTTGTCCAATCACACTGAGTTTCTTGAAGAAAAAAAACTAATTATAAACTTATGGTTTAAATTAAACTTTTAAATCAATATTATTAAGATATATTATTTTTTGTTTAAGCAGCAGTTTTTTTTTCATAAGTATACATACTACATATTAATGTTTTTTTAATAATCATTTTCTATTTAATAAATTTACATTTATTACATTTGAAAAAATAAAGCAATAAATAAATAATAAAAAAAGACCTAGAAAAAGAAGACCTACAATAAGAAAATCTACAAAAAGGAGAAGATCTGCATTTAATGATTTAAAAATTGTAAAAAATAATTTTTTTTATAGTAAAAACACAGATAAAGTGAAATAAACTTATTATAACTTGTTTAAATAAAAATAAATTATTTTATTGTAATATATAATATTTATAATACGATATATTTATGATATAATATATATTTTTTAATCTTTATACGTATATGCTAGTAATATAATATAATATAATAGAAAGCTGTAGTAGTTTGAAAACTACAAGTGAAATTAATAGTAATTAATTTCACTTTGACAGCATATACATTTTGTAGTTATTCTAGGTAAATAAATAAATTTTGTAGTTATTCTAGGTAAATAAATTAAATTATAAATTACAAAGCATGTAGCTCTAGATATTTATCAATGCGATTTTTAAACAAGCTTTCACTTTTGATGATAAAATCTGGTAATTTGTTCCACATTGATGAGACTCTATTAGTTAAAAATTGATGACGAATATTGCAATTTTTACTTCTCTTCTGATTTTGAAGTTATGGAACATTGTGTTGAGCTGATAGTTTTAAAAAATTTTAAAGAAAAAGTAAGATTTTTCTTTTCTTTTTTTTTTTATTCACATTTTTTATATCTAAATATTTATTTTATCTCTTTAACAAGAGAATAATAAAAAATTAAAAAATAATTCAAATCTTTTTGTATTAGATATATCTTTATTCAAATGTTTTCATTCTAGGTAACATTAGCTCTAAGCTAATATTATCTGATTGTAGGTTACCTAAATAATAGATTATCCTATAGCTAACAGGCTTAAATTAACACAAAAACATTAGATGGCAAACAAATTTTTTTTTGATTCTCCACCCCCCAACCCTCCGCCCCTGTCCCTGCTTTGCGGCATGGGGGGTTGGGTTAGTATAAAATTGTATTTTCTGTACATTACTACATAATTGTTATTTTTTTAACTTAACATCTCTCATATTTAAATATTTTCTTATATTATTCTCATTTGTTGGGCTTTAAAATAGCATAAGTTACAGTTATAACTTACAGCATAAGTTTAAAGTTTAAGTTGCAGATATACTGTAATGTATTATAGTCATTGCGTTCTCTGCTACAGGCCTATTCATCGCACAACCGGATTTTTTCGTAGAGGCATACTTTTTTATGACAAAAAAATTATTTCTCCACGTTCTGACCAGATACAATGTCATGTCGTTTATAATATATATTTAAATAATGGAATATAATACAATGTTAATAAACTTATATAATTTAAACATGGAGTTTTAGATTTAATTCAAACCGAATAATATATTTTTAAAATTTAGATTAAATCATCATGCCAAATAAATGTTGTGTGTATGCTTGTCACACCAACTATCAAAGTGAAAAAAACGAAGTATCTAGTGAAGTTAATAATATATCAGTGTATCGATTTCCAAGTGATAACGTTAAGTGTGAAAAATGGATAAAAACTATTCCAAACTTGAATTTGGTTGTTACTAAGTATACTGTTATCTGCGAGTTACACTGGCCTTCAAATTTTGATACAGTTATAGTGCGTAAAGGAAAACATCAACCAAAAAATTCTCCTTCTGTTTGGCTAGGAATACCTTTATCTCAAATTCCAACTGCTAATCCAACTGAAAGAACTACCAAAAGATCTTTAAGTGGCATTAGAAGTACATTAGATAATGAGCTAGATACATTTCTTAAAAGGGATAAAGCTACTTTTTGTGACATCAAAAACAAGTTTATCAATAACAGTGATCACCAATTTCCAGTTATACCGTTTATGGTTGATGGCTATGTTGCTATACAATCTTTGCAATTTTTTAATGGAATACCTTTTTTTGTACTTCAAATTTATGAAAATTTTATCTTTGAAACATTTTATTATGGGATTAAGTATCACATTTCTAGCTTAACAGTAAATCGAATCATAACTGTTGACACCTGGTCTAAGTTTGATGAGATACTTTGTTTTTTAAGCTTTTTGAAAACTGACAATAAAAAAGAAGTAATTATGCAACATGATTCAGTTATGGGACCAAAATTAGTTGGAGATAAATTTTATACACCAGAAATACTTATACGCTCTTTTGTATATTTTTTAACATCAAGAGCATTATATAATCTCTTAAGAAATGATTATCAACTTCCAATCATTTCAACACTGACTACTTCAAAAATTTCTAATAATAATGAAAACAAATTTATTTATTCAATTTTTACCTTTCTTCCGGATATGCAGAAATTATGTATTATACTACATTATGAAATATATGTTTAAAAAAGTTTGCTTTACCATGGTGGAAGTATTTTTGGTAGATCGGAGGATAACCCAGTGGAATTGTCCAAAATATTGTTAGAGATTATGGCTGTTTGTTTAAATGGGGGTCCAAAGGTGTTAATTAAAATGATACCAATATCAAAATTACGATCTGATTTTTTGTTTGAACAGAATAATTTAACTTGTCAAATAATTGATTCAGTCGGAGCTAAAAGCTATTATATGTAATGGGAATCGTGTTAATCAGGCTTTTTTTTAAATGTACACATTTGTTCCGGGAAAACCATGGTTAATAGTAGATGGAAAGTATTTACTTTATAATTTTGTACACCTAATAAAAAATATTTGTAATCTTTGGTTAAGATTTGGTTAAGATTTGACGATAACGGAATAACCAGGATTGCAAAATGGACTCATTTAAAGCAACTTTAAAATGCAGAAACCAGAAGCTTTCTTAAGTTATCTGACCTGAATGAAACTTTTATTTTTCCTAAACCTGTTGAACGACAGTGTATATTATCGGTTTTAAGAGTATTTTCTAAAAAAACTTACGTTGCTTTTTTGCAACATCCTGACATGATTCATGTTGATGTTAACGACACTGCTATATTTGTCAATAAAGTTATTATTTGGTGGAAAATTTTAAATGTCAAAGCCATTGGTGCTGATAAAAGGCATAATAATCCTTTGCAGGCTGTTATCAATAATCCTGATGACAACAGTTTAAATTTAATACTACAATTTGGTGATATGGCACTTAAAATGGCAGGTCTCAAAGGTAAGCGTATTAAACAGCTTTCTAAAGATACTGCAACTTGTATACATCAACCTTGTTATGGACTAGTAGATTTATGTAGATATTTACTCAACACTACGAAAAAATATATACTTTCTGGCCAATTTACTTCAGATCACCTGAAAAAAGAATATAGTATACTTGTACTATAGTATGCCGAAAATCTTTAAGTAGTATTTTTATGATTACATCAGACTATTATTTATTGAATACGGAAGAACATCATTGTGTAATATTGAGCAACCTTTTTAAAAAAAATTTATGTACCACTTTCACTCCAAGATCTGGCAAAGAACAAATTTCACACAATTTTTTTTTAAAATTCTTCTAATAATTTTTTTTTTTATTAAAAAAAAAAATTATTAGAAGAATTTTAAAAAAAAAAAGAATTAAAATTACTTTTTAGTTTTAAAATTACGAAGTTATTATCTATTTTGCCATAAAAAAGGCCTCCACAAAAAAATCTGGTTGCGCGATGAATAGGCCTGTAGTAGAGAACGCTATGATTATAGTAAAAGCATTTAATACTATTGCAATATTACTTTTGTTATTGTTTTTACTTAACATGATACTTAAAAAAGTAAAAATAAAATCGCAATTATTAAAATATTTAAACTATTTTAAACAGTTATAGAAAACTATTTAATAACCTCGTTTATAATGACAATAAAACATGTTTTATTTTTAAAGAATATTAAATTATTATTATAAAAAGCTATAAAACAACAGTAAAACAATACTGTGTTGTTTTATTGCTGTTTTTAACAGTTTATAACATTAATAACATGAAATATAAAATATAAGGTGATAATATAAAATTATTCTAATTAATAAATAAAAACATTAACATCGTAAAACTTTAAACTTTATATTTGCATAAAAACATGCTAAACCCATACACAAAACGAGTAAGATCAAAGCAAAAAAACAATAGATACCACGTTTTTTCTAACTTACTGCTTCTTGATCTAGCGTACTAAAAGTATAATTGATTTTTTTATCCAAATGAGTATAGGTACTGAATAAATAAACAAACTAAGTTTAATAGTTGAGTAACTTCACTGTAGTAACTGGTTGTTTTGATTTAGTTCAAATCAAACTAAGTTTAACTTTAAAATAGAAGTAGGATATTATTGGCTTCCACGCTGATATTTAAAGTAATTTAAATTCAAAACCATATGTTGAATGAAAATTTCCGCGCAAGAGAGCAAATGATCATACTTCTATTTAAAAGATAAATTTAGCGTAAGCTAAAGCTTAGCGACATATTTTATGTACTTTATAAAAAACCTAAACAAAAACATTCTATACTTTTAAATATGACACACACACAAAAAAAAAAAAAAAAATTGAGAAGATAATTAAAAAAAAAAAAAATCTAATCCCGAAGTTGTGAACAGCAGAATCGCGATTGTTACACCCTTAACTCGAGCCTTGGCTAACTAAACAGAAGTATTATAACAATAAACATAAATAGTTACCTGGAATTGGTGAAAGAACTTCAGGAGTAGTGATAGGTGCAGCTTGACTATCTTGAGAAGAAGTAATATTGTAACCATTAATAACCTTAGGGTTTTGAACTGGGGCTTGATAAGTAGATCGTTCAGGTAGTGTATCTATAATGAAATGAAATAAACTTAAAAATAGAAAAATAACAACAAACTCCATATTAAAAAAAGATTTTTTTTAGGGGGATTTTTAAGGTGTTTAAAGTGAGGTTAAAAAAGTAAAAGACTGATTTTGAGTAAATCATCCTAAGTATTTTGAGTAAGATATAAAAAATTTTATGTCTATTTTTCTTTTTTTTGTAGTGTACTTTTTTACATACTTAATGAAATTTTTGAAATAAAAAAAATTTCAAATTTATGAATAGTGTATACCCTAATTACAAATGTAAAAAAAACTGGCGAAGAAAATCTTATCTAAATAGAGTTACCTGAAAATATTTCATTTTCTTGGTCAAAGATTGAGCGCAAAGGTTCTGATGATTCATTATCAAAAGAAGACTGCTGTTTAGCGAGTGGCGAAACTATATGTCTTTTTGGTAAACTTCCAGCATTAGAAACATGATTGCTTTGAGAAGCTTTGAGAAAATATATAGAAACAAATTTTAAAAATAAAATCAATGGGAGGTACCGCCACCCAAATTTTTTCTTAGAAAAGCCCTTGTATATATGTGTATATATATATGCAGGCCTTGGCACAAGGCAAGAGCTTTAGTTCTTGCTTCCAGCCAAGGCCTAAATATATATACACAATATTACGCTTTAAATTATATTGATAAAATATAAAATTATTACATTGTAAATTATTGTATAACAATTTTTCTTTAATGTAAAGAATTATAATTCATAACATAAAATAAAAATTATTATACAATAATTTATTATTATTATGCAATAATTAATTATTTTATATATTAATTACTTTAATATATTATTCACTTTTATTGTGGAATTTGTAATTGTTGTAATAATTCCTAAAATGCCTGCATTCCATTACGAAAATATAAACTATTTTTTATAAGCAGTAAAAACTTTTATATCCCTTTTTCAAATTATTAATTTATGTTTGTTGTTAATAAATGAATAGCTAGTGTGAAAACCCGAAGACAATGCTTGTCTAAAGAATTTTTTCATGGTGCAATAAATGACACTTGTTATGTATATATTCTTGCAACATTGACACTACTAACATATGCTTGTAACAAGTACAAATTTGTAACAAAACCAAATTTTGTATTTAATATGCAATTTTTTAATGAATAAACAGATAGCTCATGCAAAAACCAAAAGTTCTCGTAAGAAGCTGTTTAGAGAAGCAGCTCACATGGCTTGCCATGTTCATTTTAGGAGAATTTTTCTCTGCTCTTGCGTTTATTTACTCCTGCCCAGGCCTACACACACACATATATATATATATATATATATATATATATATATATATATATATATATATATATATATATATATATATATATATATATATATATATATATATATATATATATATATATATAGTTAGTTTGTTAGTGGTAAACTGCGTGGATCTTATCCACAAGCTGAGACATTGTAACGTTCAGCTATAGCAGCCCAGTATTTTCTTTTTCTTTTAAATTAATAATTTCTTATTTTCCTTAAGCCATTCGTCTAAACTTGCTTTAAAACTATTCAAATTCTCGGAATCTATAACTTTTTCCGGAAGTTTGTTCTAAATTTGGCAAACTCTGTTTGTGAAGAAATGGATTCTGGGGCTAAGCGATGCATGAAAGTCATTTATTTCTCGAGGAGTAAAACACTGCATTCTAATTTTATGTTTGAGACCTCTAATGGAAGAACATGGGCCATCTAATTTAATGGTTGACTTATAGACTGGTTTGACATTAAGATTGACAAATTCTAGATTTTTTAATATCTTATATAAATGAATAAGGTCTCCTCGTTTTCTTCTGAGATTTAAATTAATTAAATCCATTTTAACTAGCTGTTTCTCATAACTTAGCATTTGGTTTGAGTATGGTATTTTTGTGGCCCTACATTGAACTCTTTCAAGCATTGAGATTTCGGCCAACTTCGGAGGACTCCACGCTGGAGTCGCAAATTCAAGACGAGGTCACACATAAGTAGTATACAAAATTATATATATATATATATATATATATATATATATATATATATATATATATATATATATATATATATATACATATATACAGAGGAAAATCTATGTTGAATAATTAAGAGGTTTTTAGTAGAATTGAAATTAATACACCATTCAACTGCTTATAACTTTAAAAGGTCATAAAGACAACTTTTTAAACAAACCTCCATCTTTTAAATCAAAAGTGTTAAAATAAGTAAACTTATTTTATGTTGAGCTAAAAAATAAATGTCTCAATAATTAAAAATATTTGTCTCAATAATTAAAAAAGCAAAATGATATAGGTTGGTTCAGAGGTATTAAAAATAAAACATTTTTATAAACTTGTAATTTTTTACATTATTGATTTCTACCTTTCTATCAAAAAAAAATCTTTTGAATAACGCAATTAAATTTACAGAGCAATATGTACTCATTAAAAATTAAGACAAATTAATAATTAAACAAGGCCAAAAAATATATTTTTTTTAATATCGATCAATCTTGGATTAAAAAATAAAGCTTGATGTTGCAATTGGTGCTTTTGAAGAGACAAATGTATGTGAGTTTGTTGGAGTTTTTCTTTTTCAGCTAACCCAGTAAAATCTGTGTGTCTTTCAGCTATTCTAATAAAATCTGTGCGTTATTCAGCTATCCCAGTAAAATCTGTGTGTCTTTCAGCTACCCCAGTAAAATCTGTGTGTTATTCAGCTATTCTAGTAAAATCTGTGTATTTTTCAGCTATCCCAGTAAAATCCTAAAAGTATAAAAGTAAAAATAATAACTGCTAAACCCAAATAAGTGAGTAAAAGTAAAAAAAATACAGTATGTTGAATGTAAGCACTGACGTTATCGCATTGGGGGTTAGCACAAAAGTGGGTTTTTTTGATCATTTATTAAAAACCAATAAAAGATTGCAAGCAATTTTCTTAATAAAAATTGATTCCCGACAAATTGTTAGCAGGCTAATTGTTTTAAATAATTTTAAAAATCATCTTGGCATAAAACTTAACATAAATTCAATTTATCAACATAGATGTTTATTGCAACAGACTGGTACTTTTACCACAGTTTTCCATTGAAACGCAATAGTAGTTGCTGTTCAAAATGTTCATCTGTCATTCTAGTGTGGTTTGACATGAACAACTTTCCCACTACACCAAATAAACATTTTCAAGAGGCTGGTAATGAAGTATTTCAAGATTCTTCAAGAGAGACATTCTTCGACAGTAACTACTAATGTTTAAATAATGTTATCAGCAGCAGTACTAGTGTAATCTGACAATCTAAAATAAAAGAAATCATCTCCAACTTCATATATGGCTGCTTCATCTGCTGAATTTACACTTGCAGAGGCTTAACAACAGAGACATCAGTTCATCAAAACTGTGGCAAATCAACCAAACACTATTCATTACATCAATTTTATTTGTCAGTTATCATCCTGTTCATGTGTTTATTGAATTCTACCTCCTCTAATTAAGAACAACTAATTGCAGACCAAATGATTTATTAATAACAGATGCATTGCTGCATGAATGTTTGTTTCATAATACCTGACATTTTTCAAAAGTTGATCGACTGAAGTTTTTGAAGATTTCATTATAATCAGCAGTTGCTATTTATGTTAATCATGAGTAACTATAAAATTCATTGAGTGGCATGCATATTGACGATGAGGGGGAAGGTAATATTCAAGATCCAATGTTGAATTAGGTATAGAAATAATTATATAACCAACAACAGATTTATCTAAATTCTCTTAAGATGCAACTTTAGAGTTTCTCACAAAGTTGGCTGTTTGCTGAATCATAACTGGTTAAGGTTGGCTTGATCATCAATCTTTCCCCTTCTGTTTACGATCAGTCATATTCGTTTAGTTTGGTTGGATGAATTCTGTAAAGAAATTTAAATTGTAACCATGTCAATAATGGCCTTAATAGACCTTACAAAAGATACCATTAAATGATTAACTATGTCTACCATAATTCCGCTATATGTACCCAGTTAGGAAGGTGTGCGATTGCTCACCATTGTATGACTACAAATAGCGTTTTGTCTTGACTACTTGACTATGGCTTTTAAAATTTCAAAAATTTTGAATTTTTTGTTAATTTTGAATTATATATTAGAATAATGCATAGTTATATAACTATGCATTATTACAACATTTTTAAAACAGTGATAGTCTCTTTAATGAACTTTATATAAGGATCATTAAAGTTAATACACTCAAAAAGATAAAAACTTTTGTTAATAAAAAAAGGAAAATGTTTTTGAAACCCGTTGAAATTAAATAACTTTACTAATGTTTTTTTTTTAGTCAGCCCCAACAACTTATCATAATTTACAAGAAGCCAGTCTTTAAGGAGAAAGCCCTTGTTTCAAATTGAAATCGATTAAAGCGATTAAGGTTTGCAAAAATGTTCCTAAATAAAAATGTTTCCTTTTGGAAAAATGTTTTATGAACTGATGAATCCAAGTTTAATCGTTTTTAGTCAGATGGGAAAGTATATGTTAGATGCCCTATGATGCAAGAAAACAACCTTTTGTATACTCTAAAGACGCGGAAGCATGGTGAGTTTAATATTAAAGTTTAGATAGCTATGTCCTGAAAATGGTATCAATACACTTTGGCTTTCCCAGGAAGCATGAGCAGTCACATTATTTGTTCGTCCACATTTAGAATAATTTTTTAGACACACTAACTATGGCGGTTCACATCTTTTAACATTTAAAGCATTTCAATAATTCAAGGCAAAAAGCTAAACTTATCTAAAAAGGAAACAAAATTGCAACAAAATTTGAAATAAATCAGAAAAACTTAATAACATAAAAAATAAATTTTCTTTTTTTAATTTTTATAAAACTTTACCATTTTTTTTAGGGTGGTTGTTACTTTTTAGCTATTGAATTTGATACATGTTGAGGAAAAAAAAATTATTTTATAATAATTTAAAAACAATTGAAAGTTTTGATACGCAATTTATTCAGGACTTTTATCAGTCCGTATAATTAAGAAATTGATTTTCTATGTACGCTAGAATTATGAGAAATTTTGTTAATTTTTCTCTTTTCCTTTATTTGTTTTTACCTTTTTTTGCTTTTAAAAATGTTTTTGCTATATTTGACATTCTTTCCCAATGCTTATATAATAGAAAAATAAGAAAATAAATTGCTTTTTATTTGTAAAATATATTATTTAATTAATAAATTTTGTATTGACAAAAGATTACAAAATGTAAAAACTTAAAAAAAAGTTTTAAACAGGCTCCTAAAAATTTAATTAAAAAAATTCTGTAAATTAACAATGCACTAGCCCATAAGTTTTTGGCGCATCATCGATAACAATAGTTCATCAGGAAATAAACTATCAGGTTTAAACAGTGTCATGGCTAGTGGGTATTCCCCCCCCCCCCCCCACACACACACAAAAAATCTTCT